TCCACATACTGCCCTGACATATAATTCCAACCAAAATAAATGGGAATCCCAAGGAGGGGGAGGGGCAGGGGTGTAGATTTCAACTCTTGAAACAGTTTGATTTGGAAATGCCTCTCAATCTCTGTTCTCGATGTCACTTACAACCCCTATTTTATTTCAATAATTTTGAAAGTACCCAACCATATGAAATACTGGGCTTTAGCAAATGTCAATAGTCTCCCTTTTAATATGTGTAAACAATGCTGCTATTTCCAGACAAAGTACTCCTTGAATTTCAGTTATATAAAAAACATCCCTCCAAAAGGAAGTTACAACATACATAAAACAGATCTCTTGAATGAAATAGTTTCCAATAAATTCTTCGTGATGAACAAGTGTACTTAAGTACTAACACTACTCACAAATTGACTTTGATGGGGTGGCAAAATACATCTCACATATGCTACTCCAGAACACTAACCAGAAATACCAGGTTAGGAGAGTCAGTTTGAGGCCAATGTTGATTTTCTGTGTGGATAGTAAATTATGGTAAAGGAATGAGGCAGTGCACAAGTGAATGGCACATACATAATGCCTCTTAGAAAGACATATTTTTATTGCTATGCTCTAGGATGGACAGTATGAATTCAGAGTTCATCACAATTGAAGATACAGCAGTAATCCACACATGTTCACTGTAAACTTTCAAAACCCAGTTTACCACCCAAAACTAATGCCAATAACCGTTTAACTGGTGGTTTGGGTTTGCTTGGTTTTCTTTTTTTTCCATCAGTTAAGTGTGATTATTAGGAAGGAACTTACAAAAATAGAATAACCTAATGACTTTGCGGACATATAGAAATCACCAAAGCATGTACAGTAGAGCACCTCTGGTATGCGTTTAAAGAAGAACCCTGGTTCTTATGATAGCTCTTTTATTTACATATAAATGCTTGTTGCTTGACAATTTAGATAAAAATGTTACTGCTGCTCTGCATGTGATGTGGATTCAAGGTGTAAAACCACTGGACCAACTAATGGAGTCTTCACACATCATATCTTGTTAAAGAAGAGGTAACCCACTCTCAGATGGTATTACAATTCATCAAAACCATAGTGTACAAAAGGTATGCATATAAACTAACATAAAAAGTCTGACTTTACCTTTCTGAGCAGGAGGCAAAATGAAGTATTGATTTAAGATACATTAATAAAAAGAAAAAAAAGGAAAGAACATGTTTAAAACATGTACTTGAAAATGCTGGGGAAACATCAATGTACATTTAATTCCATATTTGGGTAAAATATGAGGTGATGGGACAGGAATCTTGAATTGGTTTGTAAATTAAAATCTAATTTCTTTCACAAATGTACACACTTACTCATGCCCCAACTCTTCAATTTGTCTTTAGGTGCTTTGTATTTTTCTATGTAATTTTTAGAAAAGAAAATGTTGCCATAAATTCCAATAGCTAAAATGGAAACTGATGAATGGGGCAGTGAAAGATAATATTAACCACTGCTATATTTCTAACAGATGTGGATAATGTGATCATTCATTCATTTTACTATCTATTTCATCATCCACATGTGCATTTTAATTAAAACATAATTTTAATGTCTTTTGTATTCAGTACATGTAAAATCAAAGGCATGAATTATCAAATTTTAAATGAGATGTGCCTAAATGGAGTGAGGGGGAGGGGATAACTTTATTTTAAAGATATATATCGACTATTTCTATCTATCCAAGATTCAGGAAGTTTATTTCAATGCTTTGGCAGCTTTTTGTACTCATCAAAGTGAAAGGCTGAAATCACTAAGCCAATGATTCTCAACCAAGGTGCCATGGGAAAGGGGGTTCCTTGAGATCCATTCAAGGGTGCCAAAGGGTGCCATGTAATGAAGGTGTACAAAAAAGATTCACAAGATAAACCTAATGATTTCAGCTACTCAGTCGCTCTAATAAAAAATATCACATCTATCCAAAGAACTTTGCCTGAGATTTCAACTAGGAATTCATAGTGTTAAAACCATTCTGCCCCATTGTGGTCTGAGTCCTTTCCAACAGAAGAATTCTTCCATTATTTTTCTGTAGTCAAAGACGGAAAGCTGGCATTTTCCAAGGGGTGCCTCAAATCTAATGAGAGGCACCTCAGGTCTAAAAAGTTTGAGAACCACTGCGCTAACAAATTCCCTGCCATTCAAACTACTTCCACTCTAACCTTCCTCTGTCCTCTTTGAAACAGTATCTGGACTTTTCTCCTGAGGAGAAAGTGCTAATCTTATCAAAACTGAAGTTATACCATGATAACTTGATGGCCACGATGTGACATGGTCAAAAGGCTGAGACCTCCAAGCTCATTTCTCTTGTGACCAAAGAGCTCAAGACAGATCTCTCAAGGTGGCATTCTGAAGCAAGAGGACACTATATCATCATTCAGCATCTTATTATTAGCTCTTGTTGCACATGATGCCAAGGCAATATAGTACTGTAGATCTGTGCCTAAAATAATAGTTTCATCTCCTAGGCCAATACCAACTCCCTCCTGAACATTATTATTTTATTTTAAAATAGTTTTTCACTTGCAGAAATGTTTAGAACTTGGCACAAAGGGG